TCAATTCAATTGATTTTTGTATATTGTATATATAGTTACATATTTAAATTTATTTTTTTTAATTTCAAACAAAGAATAAATGATTTTTTAATAAATATATTATGTAATTTCTTTAACAAGAGGGTATATTAATCAATATCTTCTTAAGAAATGTTAACATTTGCGTTTTGCTAACCAAACAGTAAAAATTATTTTCCATTAAAATAATTTCTAGAATATTTAAATAACAGAAAATAATTTTTTATTAAAAAATAATTTCCATAGAAAAATAGTTTCTAACATGTTGCTATTTTCCACTAACCCAATGTAGCCTTGCATTTTCTATCTTCTTTAATTGCAATAGGTTAAAATATTAATTTAATCCCTCAACTTTTACACTAACCAAACGCAGCCCTGCATTTTTTATCTTCTTTAATTGCAATAGGTTAAAATATTAATTTAATCCCTCAACTTTTACATTTGTATTAAAATTATCTCTCAACTTTAAAAAATATCAAAATTATCCCTTAAGTTTAATTCCTAATACCAAAATAATCCTCAAACTTTGAAGATAAAACTAATTTAATTCTTAAACTTTGAAAACAAATACTAATTTAGTCCTTAAACTTTGATTATAAATACTAATTTGATTTTTCAATTTTGATTATATATCAATCTTATATCTAAATAGAAATATATTATAATAGTAAAATATAATTACTTGATTTTTCACATCCTTAATATTTTAAAAATGAATTAATTTTGTGATAAAATAATAAATTATGTGACACTTTTATTAATTGAAGAACTTTTTTGGTATTAAAAATTAAAATTTAGGGATAATTTTAATATTTTTTGAAGTTTAAAAATAATTTTCTTATAAATCTGAAAGTTGAAGGCCTCGGGTCTTGCTTAGTCAGATGAACGGGAATGGTAGTAGCTTAACCAGGCTTTAATTTGTCATTATACGAACATAGTTGATGGGGGCATTTCTGGGTAATCTAATTTGTCCTGGAAAATTTTCGGCATTCTGATTAGGATATTCGTTATATAAGAAACATTTATAATCATAAACCCGAGGTATAGCTCTCTTTCAGATGATTTACTCTTTCATTAAGTTCTTTCAGAAAAGAAAATTGTGAAGTGCTTGTAGGTTATTTTTTTAGCTACTGCTTCTTTAGAGAGTTTCCAATTTCTAATCTTTCATTTTAAACTGTTGAACAATTCTATTTGCTCATTTTGGACAAGTAATGCTAAACTTGAATACTCTTTGTTTCTTGGAAAATCCAAAAGTGGCGTCACGTGATACATCTAGATACGGGGTATGTCATTTGTCTTTCTATAAAGCAAAAAGGGAGAATTTTCTCGATGACTTTTTTCTTCCTTATGCTCAACCCCTATGAATGGTTGGAAGAACGTTGGTTTAAAGTAGTAATTTATGCCTTCAAATAATTTGCAAGAGGAATAAATGTCTTTTTACAAAATGAGTTATTAAATTTATCTTTGACAACTCTAAAAATTTAAATATTATTGTGAATTAAAGTTAAAAAATCCTAAATAAACTAAATGAAGTGCAAATCAAAATAAACTTGTAAACAAAAGATGCATCCAAGTTAAACTAAGTATGTTCATTACTACGATCTATAGATAGAACTAGAAATTAAATTAATACAAAAATAAAAATTTAATCTTAAATGATCATGAAAGTAATATGAACAAATATTAAACTAACATGTCAAAAACTAGGAAGAAGTGTGAATGCCATATAAATAATCATTTAAGAAAATACTATTTGTCATAAACCTTAATTGAATAACAATCAGAAATGAATAGTATCTCATAGAAATTGAAAAGATTACTGTTCATTACACAAGAGGAAAATTGCAAAAGTAACTACATGAACTAATTTGGCTATTTGAATGATGAAACCAACCTAAATCTACCAAGAATGATGCTAAAAACTGAAATCTATAAGTCAAAGTGCTCAATTGCTAATAAAATCTAAAAGTGTTAAAGTTGATTCTGAGTTGTGTGTAAAGCTGATTGTGTGTTAAATGATCAAAAGATTCACTTTTGTTTGTTTCCTCTAAAGCCTAAAACTCTCCGCTACTTGGCAGTTGCAACATATGGATGGTTTCCTGCAGAAGATGATCACCTCAATAGTGGACTAGGTCAAAACTCTGCCCAAATCTTGTCACTTGTCCCTCTTATCTGCCAACTCAATACCTTAACTAATTTATCTCCTTAATAAATTTAGCAATTACAGGTCCACTTCAATTCAAATAAGCAATTAAATAGATGATCTTCATCTATTCGAACTCCACCTTCCATGTGGTAAGTGATTTGTCAAGGGTCCTAGAACATTAGATTTGATGTGGCATCATCTTTTCCATCCATTCAAAAATAAATGACATATAACATAATCTTAAATTTTTGCAATTTATAATGTAAACACTTTTTAGGAGGGTAACCTATGCGTTGATCCTCCTTATTCTCCAACAAAATTTGTAGATAACAAAATTCTCACAACAGTTACAGAATCTTGAATTCACTAAACAAAACAAATTATACTTTTTGATAAAACATAACATAAAACTCTATATAGGTTTTTATGCATCCTCAAACTAGAAATCAATCAAGTTATACTAGATTACTTTACTCTTTTTTAATAGGAAATAGAGATTATATTAAAATAAATAAAATTGAAATTACAAATGAATCCCTATATCATGGCATATATACACAAAGTAGAAGTATATCCTATAGCATTAGATACAAACTTAAACTATATCTATGACAAATATAGACAATTAAGTATATAAAAGTCATTTGCACTTAAAGATTACATTAACAATCGTTATCGAGGCATAAATAGAGAGTTACAAACATAAAAAGAAAATCCCTGCAAGCATCCTTAGTTACTAGAAATTCTCACTTCTATGCCAATTTCTTAAGAGGAGTAGACAGTTAGGCTATCAGCAGTCTTCACCCACTAATAGCCCTACCATCAAGTTGCACTTAAAAATTAAATATTAACTTTACCTATGCTCGAGTTTCACTATAGTTTCACTTGATTTATATATTTTAGACCCAAGTTGAATTCAAATTTGTTAGTATAGTGGCCCAACACTTTGTTATGGGTCTAAAGCCCAAAGTTGAACCCATGTACAAAATAGTTTTGGGGAGAAGAGGACCACACGTTTGCTAAAAAGTGGACCAATAGTCATAAATTGGGTTAAAAAGACCCCCACAAGTCCATCTCAAAAATAGTTATACTTCCTCTCAAGTTCTCTATCTATGTTCTCTAGTTGAGGGCTTTTCAAATAGCCAAAGCCCCTATTTGCACCCTCCATTTATTTCTTTTTCACGGTCAACATCTTCCAGAATTTTTTCTCCCTATTCACACCTTCCATTTTTCAAAACCCGTAAAAAACCAAACATTTTAACGCACCGTCACGGTACCGTTACAAAATGTATTACGTGGCACTCAAAAATCGACGTGGCCACTATGTGCCGTTAGTAATCCAACGTGGATGCTTTTTTTTGATGATGTGGCTTATTTAAATAAAAAAATTTAGAACAGGAGCTCTGGGTTCCTCACAACGAGGAACCCAAAGTCAGGAACCCCGAATGCCCGATCTGGGTTCGGCGAGGAACCCAGATCGGGTTCCTCACCAGGAACCCAGAGGGTTCGA